ATCATTTTTTAGATTATATCTGTGTGTGTCGTAGCTTTCCCAAATGACTTGTTTTATTCCTTATAGGAGCTAACACAGTTAACAGTGTTGCTGCAGTCATGCTAACAGGACCCGGAGTCCAGAAGTAGCGGTGCGGTTCCAGATGGATTTATATGTAGGTTATAATTTTAGATCAAACCTATGTTATTTAAAACAGCTGCAGTTGTAAACAAATTTTCCATTATAATTAAGAGCACGAAAGTAAACAAAATACAGTTATTCACAATACTAGCATTAGCAACTACCTTGTTTTAAGCGCTGGAGTGACGTAGGCGGAACACAGTTCTTCACTCTCTGGAGGAGAGGATTTTGATTTTCTGTAATGATTTATGACAAAATTCCTTCACAAAATGAAAAACTGAGCCCAGTACATGTTTATATAGATGGTAAAGTGTAGTTATACTGAATTTCTACAATTTTAATGCAGAGTCTGGCCAATACCTTTTAATAGTGATGTAAGTTTAGAACTATCTCTCGAAAACCTCTGCACTATTTCAAGAATTTCCAAGAGAAGAAGAAAAAAAAAGCAAGACTTGCTTTAATTTATAGAATGCTAATTCGGAACAAATGTCAGCATTTAAGGGAAAACAGAGAAAGATACCCAAATTCTCTAAGCCAGAGTTGCTGCTCTTTGAAAAATTAAAATAGTGAGCTTCTAAACTAGTCGGAAAGTGGTTCCTAAATGTTATTGCAGTCAATGTGGAACTTGCTCAGTCCAGCTTAGCAAAATGTATTTTTTAACCCTGTCTGTGATTGTTTAGCGTGACGTCTGATATATATATATATATATATATATTTATATATATATATATATATATATATATATATATATATATATATATATATACCCATAGCCACAGCCTGGTGTAGGGGCTGGGGGTGCGTCGACATGGTGCACAGCTAAATAAGTTTGGGAACCGCATAAATATCGCTTAAAATGACAAACTGTTTTTGGATTTTTTACACAAAAAAGGCTGTTACCTAAAAAAAGAAATCCCAAAGTGCTAAAATTATAAAAGATACGAATCTCAGTGACAGAAAAATAATTCTGTTTATTGGAGCTATAATTTGTTCTAGGGATGATTTTTAAAATTTTGTGTAAAATAATTTTTAAAAAGTGTAAAACAATTATTAAACTATTTAGAATTAGTGCAGTTGTTTAAAGGTGATACCATCCACCTATCCATTCATCCGTCCATCCAGTTTATTTATATTATTTTATTTGCATTTTGATACCAAGAAAGCGCTTATTTTTGAATGGGGGAAACGTTATTTTAGGTTTTGTGCGCAAACCAAACTGGCTGGCATTTTTGCCTGATGAATAATAAAGTGAGCTCTCATTCTGGTGTGTGTAAATGGGTTTATGAACGGCACTCTACTACAGTTTGAGAGCTCCAGATCTCCATGGAGCTAAAGCCTTAGATAAAACATCATGGTAACTATACAGCTTACGAAACAGTAGACCACGAAAATGCGACTATCCTACACAGTAGCGATCAGCCTGGTGTCTACTCCTCTATGTCTATGCCGTTGCGGATGGACTTCTATAATGAACAAATTTACACTAATTTGAATGAAAGAGAATGCTTTTTTAAATTACACTGACAAAAATGTCTTAAGAAACTTCAGAATCAACTTTATTGTAAAGTACGTGAGTGAGGCTCACTTTACCAGGAATTTGCTTGGTGGTTGTTATTGTGTTTTAATTAAACACACTGGTGTTTGTCATTGTGTTTAAGTAATTGTAAGAACTACTTTTGGTTTTTAGAGATTGTAACAAATTTTTATGCTGGTGCTACAAAAACCTATGGCCTTCGTAGCACCAGTGCTATAAGCTAAAAAAATCCGGCATGGCTCAGTATGCTTGGTACCACATCAAGGCAGGTACAAGGGGTGGCAAACTACAAACCCATGACTTATGAAGAAAGCTTGAGTCGATCTACGCTATAGGTGTTAATGGAAAAGGCCCACTTGTCATCGTAATTGTTAAAGCTAAATTATCACCCATTTCTCACTTTGGTTCAGTGTTTAAAAATCATTCAACTTGCTCCAGCTCCAAGCTCCTGATAAAGTTCAATAATTCCACAAGACACTAACCTCCCAGACATTTATTGATCAATGTGGTTATTCATTTTGAACATTAAATGGTTCTACTGCTGGATAAAATGAGTCACAACAAACTGATTAGTGCACAAGTGTTTCACAAACACACCTTATATTAGACTCAGTAAAAATGGCCTGTTTTTGATAAAACACCTTTTAGAGTGCTAGAACCCCCCAAGGTGCTTTACAACCCAATTGGTCATAAATCCATTGACACACACATTCACACCCTGGTAATGATGAGCTACAATGTAGCCACAGCTGCCCTGGGATGCGCTGACATAGGCGAGGCACTGGCAGTATAAAGCACATTGTGTTTCTGAGTTTTCTGATCAACCAAAGTCTCTCTTATCTTAAAAATTCTTCTTCAGCTCATTGATTTGTTTTGTCTAAACCTCTTTTAAAAATGATCAACATCAGTGTGCTGCCCCAGTCTGCTTCTGCTAGATCCTTCTTATCAGTCTACGTGATACGACGTGAAGTCTTTAAATTTCATGTATAAAAATATTCTCTTGCTGTGTGTTAGCAGTGGGTGATGAAGTGTCATATTCACAGTAAATTAATAAAACCAGATTAAACGTCTCACACACCAGACAGTTTAATTGTGATCTACGTAAATGGAAATCAAAATCTCAATTTCACGCTTATCACATTTCACAAACGATCATCAAAAGCTAAACCAGTGGGAAGGGTAGACAAAATTACATTTTTAATCTGTTCATAACTCAGACATGACAGCTTGAACGGTTTCTGCTGATGCTGTTAAAGCACCGTAGATATTGGCTTAAATATATTTATACTGTTAGATTTTTAATAGAATATAATAGAATAGACTATGAATCCCACAGTGAGGAAATTCACTCACTAAAGCAGCACACACACTTAGAGAAAAGGAAGAAAAAATAACAAGATTACAGGTAAACAAACAAAGGCAATAAGCTATTATTCCATTCAATTGAATTCAATCTCTAATCACAACAAGACTCGTCTCAAGGCACTTCTCAAAGTAAACATTCCAATACAGTTCAGGTCACTAAGCCAATCAGCAGACTGCATCGTCACTGACTGGTTTCAGTGGTTTTACAGCAACCCTCATACTAAACAAGCATGCAGCGACAGTGGAGAGGAAAACTCCCTTTTAACAGGAAGAAACCTCCATTGGATCCTGGCTCAGTATAAGCAGCCATCTGTTCTTATTGCAACCTTCAACCACTAAAAACAACGGATAAAAGGAAAAACCTGGGTTTCCAGAACTATGTGGCATAAGGGACACAGGCATACCAATGTACATCCAGGATGCCTCCTGGACGCCTCTCTGGTGAGGCACATCCAACAGGTTAGAGACCTAAAGGAAGACCCAGGACACGCTGGTGGGACTATGTTTCTTGGCTGGCCAGGTAATGCCTTGGGATTCCCCCGGAGGAGCTCAACCCAAGTGCCTGAGGAGAGGGAAATCTGGGCCTCTCTGCTGCTGCTTCCACAGCCCAACTCCAGATAAGCGGATGAAAATAGATGGGTGGATGGATAGATGTATATTTCCCAAGAGTTCTACCTCTTTATCAGGATTTGTGAATTCCTCAGAAGCCTGCAGCTTTTATGTCCTCTGCCGTTTGGTGGATGATTTAGATATTAGTGATTAAAAAAGATTAAAGATTAAAGTCCCATTAGTTATTACACACACTGGTGTGTTGTGAAATTTGTTATCCACATTGATCCATCCACTGTGGGAGGGGTGAACTGTAGACATGGCCACGTCCTGGATCTAATGTTGAATGCCAGGTGGGAGGCAATGTGTCCCATTTTTTAATTCTTTGGTATGACTGGAATGTAGATTTGACCTCTCGATCTCATGATTTCATGGCAGACACTCATACCGTTATGTGTGTATTGGCAAGAATCTGGCTATACAATATATATATCACAATATAGAGAGAGATACGAAAAATTGCTAAACTAAAACCCAGACGATATTTTGCAATTTTTATGACTGGATTTAACTGGAAAACCAGGCAAGATGCTTTCGGACACATCCGGTATTTTCCCGTTCTGTCAAAATGAAGGCGTCAAAATCTGCTGCCCTCTAGCAGTTGGAGTTTGAATTGCACACAAAAGAAATACAGTAAATATTCTCAAAATACATTTAAACACTATTTTTAACTATCAATTCTGTGTTATGACACAAAATATTGTAATGATTCAGCATATCGATATTTTCTTACATCCCTACGAGGTATGACAGGCTGCAGAACTTACTGGGTAAGAATTGGGGGACATCCCGGACAGGGCCCCAATCCATCAGAGACACACAGAAACATACAAATCCACATACGATTCGTAGATGATGTTCACTATCCTCAAGGATAAAGGATTTGAATCTGCACCCTTACTACTGCAAGGCAACAGTGCAACCCACTGGGCATACCTTAATCTATGAATAGTTCAACAAAAAAGACTATAAGGCATTGAAAAGGTGACAATCTTTATTGACTCTAGTCACACAGGTGTCAAACTCCGGTCCTCAAGGGCCGCTATCCCTCATGTTTTACTGTTTTCCCTGTTTCAACACACCTGATTTCAATCAGCAGGTGATTGAAGGGTTCTGCAGAGCTTGATGAGCTGCTGCACAGAGGACTGGAGTTTGACACCCCAGTGTGTGACATAACAGAAGTGATACAATTTTTTTACATTCGTTCTGTGTGTAACATCATAATCTATAACTTTTTAATTTTTTTCAAACGGAAGTGACGCCAAGTCGCTAGCAGAAACATGTCAGTTTCAAGGTAAACAACTATTTTAATACTGTGTTGTGGTAAAAAAAAGAACAAAGCATTGGATTTTGAGAGAAGTGATTCACTCACTTATTGAGGTAAATCCGTTTCTCCGTGAACTGGCCCGGTCCGTGCTCCGGGTCTTCGTACGGCTCGTTCTGCACCACCTCCACACCTTCTCCACGCTCGCTCTGCTCATGGCTGTGTTTGCTGATCATGTACAGCTGACCGACCCGATACTGAAACACAAACAGAATATGTTCATGTTAGACTATTAAAGATGTTTTTGTTGACAAAATTAAGAAATCACCACTGCTACGTTAATATAAGTGTGGATTTGGATCTGGAGGCAGGTTGAAAGGAAATCAGCAACTGACTCAGTCGTATAATTTTACTGTGTCAATAAAAGTCAATACAGAGGGAGAAATACAAGGATTACCACTCATGCACATTCTTGCAGGATGTAGTGTCACTGTCCAGAAACATATCTGGCTGATTAGTGGCTGTCTGCAACATAGTAACAAGTCCAGGACGACAACAAAAGCAGCAACAACAGCCAGTAAGGTAACCCTGTCCCACGGACCTCTGTGATAAATCAGTCAGCACCAACAATCTTCCTCTCAGTGCTGACTGACCCACTTGGCCCTGTCATAATGTCACTCTGAGCTGCCTTAGGTGGATTTAGGTGTCATGTGGCAACTATTTTCCATACATTCAGGAAACGACCGGCACAGGGAGAGAGGATGCTTGGCGACAGAAGTTTCCGACTGCTTGTGGACCTATTTCAGTGTCGGAGAAATAGAGCCCGTCCTGATGGAGATTTATGTTGCCCTGCTGAATTGCTAAGGGGTCATGTAGGACTCAACTGACACACACATACATAAATACAGTGTGCTTCGACTAAGGATAGCTGTGTTAAGCTAATGCAAAAAAGAACAAAGCCAGCCTGTGATGTTGACTTGTGACTCAACATCCTACAGAGGAGTGAACCCAGCAGAAATATGATAGTGCAGTGGAACAAAGCTGATCTAGTTAATATTGGACTACTACTAAGGATTTTCCATCTGCTGGCCATGAGAGGAGAGCAAATTGCTGGGTAGCAGAATTCCCAGCAGGAGTGTTGCTGGTGGTGAGATTCTGACTGCACAGCTGTTGGAATCTGGCAGGATTTTGGACATCACATACCGCAACAGACCTCATATAGTAATAAGAATAAGAATAGTAACAATAACATTTGTTCTGTCACATTCATACATCAGTTTCTTTACACATCTAGCACTTAAAAACCATGCTACTTTAAACATTTCAGAGCAAAATTAGGCACCATATAAGATCAAATATCATCAATGGCACTACTGAGATGTAATTTATCTTTATAAGTTATTTTCGTCAGCCTGAATTTATACTTGGAAATGAAACGATTCATTTCAGTGATGCTCCATCAAATCGCACCTATAACAGCGTCTTCAGCCGGGTGGACACTGTCAGACTTGTAGCATTCAGCTCCATCTCAATCTGTAAGACTTCCTCGCCGAGCAAAGCTCTCATGTTCTCACACTGTACATCTGGTAGCAACACATTGGACCTGAAAAAGTGCTAGAATAGTAATTTTAACACAACACGTTGGATCTTTTGAGTCCGAAATCCCCAGAAGATCTAGAGGCTGTTGCGTTGTTATGTTATTTGTCCTTCGGGCTTGCCGTAGATGGTCACAAAGGGGTTTCTGGGGGTTCGAGGAGGAAGATGAAAAAAAGGAAGTAGAAAATATTTTGGGATCCATGTTACATAAACACAAAAAACTCGCCTTCTTGACAACCCTTGTCATTGTGTAAAGAGTAAAGTGTAAAAATGAAAGGAAACAATATGTGTTGAAACAGAAATAACTGTGGAGTTGGGGCATGCGCTGTGTAAACCGTTCTGGTAATTTTGGGTTGGAGAGCTGTTTCATCAGTGTGATGCCCCCATGTGGAATGAGCGAAATATCAAACACGCTTGAAATTTGTGCAAGCGCACAATTGCTGATCGTGTTAATCGCCTGTTGTAACCCCCTGTATACTACACGGTGCAAAACTCGCCCCAATCTCAAAGATTCTCACACGAGTGGAAAATGGGCTCAAAAAAGACAAAAAGTTGTACAGTATCCATCCGGTTTAAGGCAAGTTTGCTGCTGTACTGGCCTTGGTAGTCCAGTGGTTACCACTAGCACTCTAACCACTGGAATATTGAGTCTGTTACAAATCAATTGCTGCCTAACACACATATCCAATGCTGGCCATTATGGACATCTTTGTGGACAGGACGCATTGTTTTTATGGTGGTGTTTTGTCCCCAATGCAGAAGTAATTTTTCAGTGGGCGTTAGTGGTCTACTTCCAGGGCACGTGGTGTTCAGATCAGAGACTAACTTCAGGGGGAGGAGCAGGACCTGATGACACACCTAATTTCCATCCAGGCTTTTCAGGATTTTCAAAATAAAACTCAAAATTTGCAGCTGAGACAAGAAAATGCATGAATGCAGCCAAAAACTGGTTTGGGTTTATTTTTCATGAGGAAATAACAATACAACATGGTAGAAAGCTCCAAAAAAGGGGATTTTCCATGATATGGCCCCTTTAATGTCCAACAGTTTTCCGGTCAAATGTTTATAATCTAAAAATAAAGATTTAATTGTAGATACAAATTTACTTGTTTTTGCAGCCAAATATGGAATTTAACTGTTTGAATTGTATTTTAAAAAGAGCTACTGTGATTGAACAACTATAGCGTCATATATTATTCCATAATATAGTTTCATTTGAAATGTTTTTCATTCCCACGTTTACTTGGTTTGGTGGGTCAAACAGCTCTTCTATTGTAGCCTGGCCAGCCAGACTCCTCCTTATGGCGTCAGAATTCCGCCATATCTCGTGCATGCATATTGTCCAAATCGCACGTGCGAACGGGACTCGCGCGCGGAAGTTAGAACCTCCACGAGTGAAGATATACATGGCGAGGAGGTCATTTGTACACTGAGAGGGAGCAAACTGTGTCTGTGAGTGCACAAGGATGTGCACAAGTGACAAACCTGCGTGCGAACGTTGGCCAACGAGCACACAGCAGAGGAAAACATGCACGCGACAGCCTCACTGCGCGTGTGGCAGCCTTTCTGCGCGCTCGGTTTCTGATTCTGCTCGCTCGGCTGCTGGGAGTTTTGGCACTCTGGAGGCGTGGAAGAATTAAAGTGCCAGAAATTGAGCACTTGAACTTTCGATTTGAGAGCAGAATTTCATATCAAGAGACCAACTTTTTAATTTCAGAATAAGATTTTATTTTATTGCTCTCAAAACTTGTAATGCTTGCGCTCAAAATGTCTGCTCTCTTTCAAATTCACTCTGTTCTTCTTCAAATCTTTGTTTCTGCGCTCAGATTTACCTTTCTTCTTCTCACGTGACAACTTTTTCTCTGCATGGATCAAAACTCCTCCCACAAGTCTGTCGCCTGCTCTCACGGATTTCATCTGCTCTCGCTCAAAACAGAAGTACAATCTCCTAGCAACCGCTCAGCCAATAGAAAGACTTGTGGGACTGGGTGGGAACAAACCTCTTTGGGGTGCGCTCATTTTGACGCTCTGTGGATTTTCCTGTGTGGCTGCCGCATCTGCGCACTAACAGCCTGGCTAATACCTGCCCTGATCTGGAGCGGGAGTTTCACCTGCACCAGCAAAATGGACCAGAACCAACAAGACGCTCAAGTAAGTTATTTTTCAAGGCTACTAGCTGCAGTTTATTCCATAAAATTGTTTTGTTATGCTACTTTTTACGACTCCTCACATTTAATATTGCAACAGGGGCACAGCTAGGTGGGTTAGGGTCCTACATGGAATAAAATGTCCGGTGTTTCATCCAGGAGCTGAGAGCACGAGATATGGCGGAATTCTGATGCCATACCTCCTCTTTTTTATTCTGCACAGAGAAAGGGTCTGGGGACTCTCCTATTCAAATAACCCCAACCCCTGAGAATTCTTACCGAGCCAACCAGCGCTGAGCAGCATACGTCACACACCGCAACACAAAGTTTGTCATAAACACGGTGACTGAAGCGGAGTTCGCTGCGCCTCTTTCCTCTGTTCTAAATTACTTGAATGTCTTTAAACCCACAAGTAGAAGCGCTAAAAGCATTTCTTCTAAAAGAATAAAAGAAGCTTGTGTCGTTGCCAGATGCCTTTACAGCTAAAAACCTACAGCGTCACGTGGTACAGTCGACATTTCCGTCTTTTTTCTGATTGGTTATTTTTGAGCTGCCTAGTTCCGCCCCTCATGTGCCTCTCTGCCTGTGAGTTAACAGACTCTTTCTCAGTGCAGAATTAAACAGAGGATGAGTCTGGCAGGCCAGACTACTTCTATTGTCCTTGTTATAATGACAACAGATTTTATATTCTATTAATTTTCGTTTAACATCTGAATAAATTCTGATGACTGTGGATTATGGATGGGTTTCATTTTAAAGTGTTTACTGATGAGTTGTAACAATTTCTTAAATTAAACAAAAAAAATTGCAAGTTTTCAAAATGTAATTAACTAACAAAGGTACTATTCTGCAAATTCATCTGACATGCAAATTAATTGGGAGATTAGTTTTAACAAAGGAAAGACTCTCGTCTAAAATGCTCAGACTTGTCAGGGTAGTTATGTCCTGGGTGAAGGCAAACATTCATGAGTGAAGTATTTGATGGCTTCTGGTCACCAGCTATCCTGGGCGCCATTATTGTCCAACTCTAAGAAATAAGCAATAAAATAATCTAAATGGATAAAATTACATTTGCATTTGAAAAACAAGTCTTTCGATGCTATTTGTGTGTTTTTCAGAGAGAAAGTGATTTCTGTTCTTTATTGTTTTATCCCCTTCTGTAGTGTATTACAGCATTACATTAGTGCTCAGACTACTAAAGGAAAATACGTTTTTACAGTGCTCGGGACTTTAATGAGAAAAAAATATGACAAATGGGTCAGGAGCTCACATAAATCTGACTGCTGGATGAAAATCACAGCAGAGTGCCGACTCAGGGAGAGTTCTCTGATCACACTGACGACAAGCCGTAAATTATCACTAAACACCATCTCTTCTCGCTCCTCCTTCATTAAATCAGGATTTTGGACAGTGTAAATAAACAGCAGCCATTGTGTTTGGCTGCAGGCTGTTGTTTATTTAAAAGTTGGAGCTGATAAATGAGGAGCTGCTTTTATTGTTGTCTTTGGAAACCT